CACACACACACACACACACAAACTCACTCACTTACACAACCTCTCTAATAGTTGTTAGTACCTGCAGATCCAACTTGGACCCATCGTAGGTCCAAGATCCAAACTTGAGTTCACAAGTCTGCTCGTCGAACGGGAAGTGTCGGATGTCGATGGAACACGAGGACTTGAACACAGCCTGGGGGATCCAAACCACGCTTCCGTCACTGGACAGCACACACAGGGCGTCTCGTTTCTCCTCCAGGCGTTCATCCGCGCTGGTATAAAAAATAACAACAAACAAAACAATGGATCAGTTGGTCACTGGGTCGGTGGGTCAGTGAGGAAGAGAGTTTACATTGGGGTACAGAGGGAAAGCGAGGGGGGAAAAGAGGGCGGGCGGGAGATGGGGTTTTGAAAAAAGGAAGCAGTCGCAACCTTCCCCCTCCCCCCCAAAAAAAAAAGACAACACAAAACAAAACAAAACAAACCTCAAACAAAAACAAAATACTGCACAACACTCAACCCTGACTCAAGATCGCAAACACAAAGCAAACAAAAGCTTAACCCTAAACCAGACACAACCCAAAAGAACCCCTAAAAGGGTACAACAATACCAATCCTTCCAGAATGGATTACAAGAGAGAACGCACCAATTCACCTCAGCACGCCAGCACGTGAATAAAACTCTGTAACTTTGGTGGCGTGGTGTGTGCGTGTGCGTGTGTGTGTGTGTGTGTGTGTGTGTGTGTGTGTGTGTGTGTGTGTGTGTGTATGTGTGTGTGTTAATGTATAAATGTCTATCATAAGCTTACAAAACGTGCTAGAGCGACATTTACTTATTATAACGTCTTTGTCTCGTTTTAAGATAGAGGAACGTAATAAGACTTCCATAACATCAACTTTATAAGTAGTGCAGGTGACAATTTTATTAAGTACTAATGTTGTTTTTGCAGAAACAGACATTTAAAAAATATACATGGGTTTTCTTCAGACAGATACGGTTCCGTAGATGGTATCAGTCATTTGAAGTGCTACAAGATTGCAACAGCTGAAAGAATATTACCAACATATTAAAAATAAAGCCAAGTCCAGTTTGATGTATCCAGCGATGAGAATATCCATGACAGACGAAAGAGGAAAACAACCCACAGGGTAAAGTATAAATAGCAGTGCAACAATAGCAGCAACAGGTGTATGGTGAAGAAGAAGAAGAAGAAGAAGAAGAAGAAGAAGAAGAAGAAGAAGAAGAAGAAGAAGAAGAAGAAGAAGAAGAAGAAGAAGAAGAAGAAGAAGAAGAAGAAGAAGAAGAAGAAGAAGAAGAAGAAGAAGAAGAAGAAGAAGAAGAAGAAGAAGAAGAAGAAGAAGAAGAAAAACAACAAAATGAATACTATGTTACAACGAAATGCAGTAACATCAGACGAACCAAAGAACAGACGTACACTTTTATTCAAAGTTAACACTTCAGGCGATAACCGGCGAAATGCATTAAAGCCTCTCCCCCCGCCTTCCTAAGCTGGGCACCCTTCAGCTACTTCAAACGATTGGTCTTTTGAGAAAAAAACTGCTGGATCTGGCACTCCGATGGGACTGCTGGTTGAGCGCATTGTGCCCGGCGAAGTGATTAAATTTGAAGAGGAACCTTGACTGTCGTCGAACCCTGAGCTGAATCAAAATTGAAGGAGGCGCAAACAGTTGAACGGTAAAAGAAAACGTTCGGAGTAACTCCACGCATTTTTTTCTGTCTTTCCCATGTGTGAAACAGTAAGGCCTCCAGGGACCACTCTCCGTGCTTTACATGATTTTCTCTAAATTTGTTTTCGTGGACGGGGTTGGAGGTTGGGCTGGGGGAGGGGGTGGGGGGGGGGGGGGGAAGAAGAAAATGTAATATTTCGGCCTTTTTCAGTACGCATATCCATGTGCAGAATGTGCACGCAGGCGCGCGCGCGAGCGCGAGCTGTGTGTGTCTGTTTGTGCAGGTATATCTTTGTGCGTTTATGTGTCTGTGTCTGCACGCAAATGAATGAGTGCTCTTACGTGCTCTAGCGTGTGTGTATCTATGTATATATATATGAACCGGTATGTAAAGTATGTGTGTGTGTGTGTGTGTGTGTGTGTGTGTGTGTGTGTGAGTGTGTGTGTGTGTGTGTGTGTGTGTGTGTGTGTGTATGTGTGAGAGAGGTGTGTAAAATAATTGGTGTCTATAACTGGATGGCACTATGAGTTCACACCCAAACTGTTCTCTACACGCTCTTCCCACTAGCTTACTGGCCTGAAGGACCGGGATGCAGGTGGTTTTTAGAAAAACTTAAAATATATAAAAATATCGATAAATAGTTTGTATAAACTTCTCTGCATCATATTACTCCAGTTCTCTATCTGAACAAATTTAACCATTCACCCACCTTCCTTTACAAACAAACCAAAACCTCTCAGATATTTATTCCCAAGTCCCTTCTGTGCAAGAAAATCCAAACCGGGTCTGGCGAAAAACAATAAATGTGCCTCCAGGGACCAATATAAAGTCGATTGTTTCTGCTCTGTGACTCACTAGTTGTAGAGTTTGATGTCCGGCTTCCAGATGTCCTCGTTCTTCACACGGACTGTGCTGATGTTGCCGTATTCTGACTCGTTCCACGCCAAGTACATGTCCTTCCAGTGCTGGGGAAGAAAATATATCAATAATAGTTCGGGTGGTGAAGGATTCTAATAAGCATCTGGAAATACGACAATAGCTCGCATAAATAGATAGGGAAACACACACACACGAAGACACACATGTACACACACACACACACACACACACACACACACACACACACACACACACACACACACACACACACACACACAAACACACACAGAGAAATATATATGTATATATATATATATATATATATATATATATATATAGAGAGAGAGAGAGAGAGAGAGAGAGAGAGATAGCGCGTGAGAGAGAGAGAGAGAGAAGGATGTTGAGGGGGAAGGGGAAAAGGGGAGCCTGCAAAGCAAATTTAGCAAATAAAGCAAAGAAGTAGGTGAAACCTTGCGCGCGCGCGCGCGTGTGTGTGTGTGTGTGTGTGTGTGTGAGTGTGTGTATGTGTGTGTGTGCGTGTGTGTGTTTGTTTGCCTTTCATTAAGGGGACATGTAAAGGGTCTGTGAAGATGTCGGAAATAGACTATAAATGATGAAAGACGTTATAGTTTCTCCTCTAAACCCTTCAATTACATAAAGTAAACAAAAAGCAAGTGCAAAATTGTGGTTTTGATAAAAAGTCTCGCTCTTCATGAAACAAGAAAAGAACTTTCTTGGCACGCTGATGGAAAACCAGATACTATATTCTAACGGCAGAACATTTCATTGAAGTTTAATCCCTTCACTGCCTAGTATAAGATTCTTCTGGTCTATGAGATACCATTATAGAACACGCTTGACAGGGCAGATATTAATAAGATGTTATTTTTATTTTTAACACTGAGAAAAGTATTTAATTTTTTTAGATCTCAAAGTCTCTCTTTAGGTTAAAATGCTGAGGTAAATTTGGACTCAAGTCTCCCACCAAAGTCTCCAGCCTATCAAGTTCGAAGCCAGTTGTGTTCTAATGGTCAGCTCAAAGAGGAGGGGTAACACTTTAAGTTTGTCTTGGCTCAAGCTTTCTACATTTAGATTGGCTTGGTGTCATCTGTACTCTCGTAACTGAAAAAAGACTACGCGAAGATATAAAAGAAGGTTCTTGGAAGTACATTATTCCCAGCCGCCATGTATGGATGTTAGGCACGGACCATCTCTAAACAGATTGCAATTTTCAGGATGAAATGTATTTGAGGTACTTTAAGAATATTGTGGAAAGAGAAAGCTTTAAAGAAATGAAGAAGTACAAAGAAGAATTTGCAAAGAAACGCCAACACTCCCCCCAGAACTGGAACTGAATTACTTTCTCATTCTCGACAAAGATGCTTAACTTTCATTGATTTTGAATCCTTGTTGAAATGCCTCGTAGATAGCATCGTGCGTGGGGAATAACAGTAGGTCTGTATGAAAGAGAGAAGCGCCACTTTGAAGTTCTACGATCTGGTGACAAAGGAGATTTGTGTACATCACACGCCAAGCTCTGGTCCTTACTTTCCTGGACAACAGTTGTTGTTTCTATTGCAATTTCATGACCAATAACTGATTACTTTTGTGCAAGGGGCAAGACTTGTTTTTAAAAATCACGAATACATATTATTATACACATACACTAAGATAGATACACTGAAGCACGCACGCATGCACTTGCACACACACTCATACACACACACACACACACACACACACACACACACACACACACACACACTCATACACACACACACACACACATAATTTATATATTATTTTTTTCTTATTATGTATATTATATATAATATATGTGTATGTGTATGTGTGTGTATGTGTGTATTTATTTATTCATTTATAACATACACAGAATATATTATATCTGAACAAACAAACAATATAATAAAAACACCAACGATAGAACAATACGACAAAGAGACGTTTAAAAAGTAAGACGGAGGTTAAAACGATTAAAGAAGAACGAAACGTGTGAAACCAAAATCGCCAGCAAAATAAAATAAACAGAAAGATATATTATAAATTATAAAGTATAAAAATACAACTGAAAAAAAACATCATTGCTATCAACAGTTTGTGTCGATTCAGTCCAAGTCACTTTGGTCTTAACAATGCTTCGTGACCCCACCGACTAATCTCCCAGATTTGAGCGCCATGGCTCATAGCGCACAGCAGCAAGTCAGTCTCTGCCCATGCTAACGAGCTCAACACAATGCAAATGTCTCCGGAGAGAGGTCACCTCGTCCCAGGGGAGTCGGGCGGATGGAGAGGCCATCGATGGATTGCCAATGAAGGGGATCAGTGGCTTAATCACTGGCGCAGAAGGGGAAATGCGTTGATTCGTGCCACTTAAGGAAGGGAAAGGGGAAAAGGGAAAAATGGGGAAAGGGGGGGGGGTGTTTAGGGGGATACATCTTAAGGGTGCTTGGAGTGGGGGAGGAGCTGACAATCAATTCCATTGTTTTAATTTTAAGTCATATTTTGAGCGAGTTTTGTATAAATACTAAGGTAGATGAAGAAAGATAGTTCAGATAGCGTTAGAGCTATGTGTATTTTGAATGCCTTGGAAGCACCTTGTTCTCAATGTTGATTGGAAATAAACCCGGGAGTGAAAATAGGAAATCGCTGTCAATAAAATAAACAAACCTTAACTTTCACACAGTTGGCTGTTTGACCGTCTCGTACAGCATAAAAAAATGAAATATCTTATCACGCTTTTTTATGAGTTAAATCTTATTAGTGGAAGTCGAAGGCAAGTGCATATTTTCCAAAAAAATTAATTTGATATTTCAGCATATCGAAAAAATACCAATTTACTTGTAATTTGTTCGCAAATTTTATTGGGTATGCTTGTAATTTGTTTCTTCCAAAGTTACAGGCATAACAACACAGCAGTAGATAATCCGAAAAATAAATACGCTGGAAAACGTCAGTGCTGAAAATTGTCTCTAAAAATCTTGAGTTGTGCGGTATCATCATTGACCAAAATGGGAAAGACTGTTCAAGACATCCTTCAATTCCACCCTCCCCAAAAACAAAAAAGAACCACCCCTCCCCCCCCCTAAAAAACAAAAAACAACAACCCTAAAAACCAAAAAAAAAATAAAAAATACTCACCTTCCTTTTACCGTTTTTTTCTGGTAGGGGGGCTCCCCCAACCAATTATATTCGAGATAATAGTGCAAACTGAACAACAAAAACAAAACAAAAAAACAACAACGACTAAAACAAGAAAAAACCCAACGACTAAAACAAGAAAAAAAACCCCTGACCACTTCCAGACCCCCCGCCCACCCCAAAACACACCCAGACCTATTTTTAATTTTCAGCCCAACTGGGTAGTAGAAGTTGATAGTAAGAAGAACAAATTTGACAAGGACCGAATTATCTTTCTGCTGATTGGTGTGTGTTAGTGTCTGTGTCCTATAAACACTATGTGGCTTAACTAATTTAAAGGGAGCGAAATTCAGAGAGACAGATAGATAGATAGATAGATAGATAGATAGATAGATAGATAGATAGATAGATAGATAGATAGATAGATAGAGAGATAGAGAGAGAGAGAGAGAGAGAGAGAGAAAGAGATGGAGAGAGAGAGACAAAGAGATGGAGAGAGAGACAAAGAGATGGAGAGAGAGAGAGAGAGAGAGAGAAGGGGGGAAAAGAGAGAGAGAGAGAGAAAGAGAGAGAGAGAGAGAGAGAGAGAGAGAGAGAGAGAGAGAGAGAGAGAGAGAGAGAGAGAGAGAGAGAGAGAGAGAGAAACCAAATAAATAAAAAATAAATAAACGGGGACCCTCGTGGAGTAGGCTTGAATGCCAGAGTGAACGAGGGTCTGTGACACTTCGAGCGCTCAGTGATAAATATCTCCCCCCTAGCCGTAAGTTTGCTCAATTTCTGGCGAAAATTGCCAATCATGCGGTTAGAGCTTCGGAATCCGTTTGCTTTCCTATCTGTTGGAATCGCGTGGTGATTTGTGTGTCTCTACGCTCAATTGTACTTGAATGTTTGATTCAAAGAATGTGTTTTTACTTTTATGTGCCTGTGTGTATTTCTTTGCCTTTCTCCCCCCCCCTCTCTCTCTATTTCTCTATCTCTCTCTGTCTCTCTCCCTCTCTCTCTCTCTCTCTGTATCTCTCTGTGTCTGTCTCTCCCTCTCTTTCTCTTTCTCTCTCTCTGTCTTTCTCTTCATGTGTGTGCGCATGCGTTGTGTGTGTGTGTGTGTGTGTGTGTGTGTGTGTGTGTGTGTGTCTGTGTGTGTGTGTGTGTGTGTGTGTGTGTGTGTGTTTGCGTGCGTGTGTGTTTCTGTTCGTGTGTGTTTGAGGCTCCGTGTGCCAGTTTGTTGTAATGGGCCTCTGCCATGCATCTGTTCATGTGCGTATCTGTGTTCGTGTTTAGTGTCCATATAACAGTTAGATATAGGTACCAGTATATATATATATATTCGAGGGAGTATCAATAGGTCTTTGGTCTGGGTATGATAGAATCAAGGTAGAGAAATGGGCCTTCGGACGATTTCTTTGGAACACACCATACACAATTTTCGTGATAATCCGACAATAATAAGGCACTAGTCAGCGTGTTCAATGAAACCAAGCACAAACATGTTCGGTTTTTCTTTGCTGAAGCTGTGTCATGGAGCTTGTTGAATATTGCTCAGTTATCAAGTTTTTACACTTGCAAGAAAAATCACCTCCGGACATGTTTCAGGAAATGGTCCAAGTTTATGGTAGGACAAATTTCCTCGTTGTAATACTGTGACATACTGGGTAAGAAAATTCAAATCTGGATTCATGTCGGTGATGGGTGAAGATTGTGAAGGGCACCCATCCTTTGTGGTAACTGAAGAGAATGTATCCATAGTGAAGAAACTGGTTTTTACAAGACTGATGTATAACTGTTAAACAGCTCTCAAGTGATTAAGGTTAAGGTGTCTGCGCTTTGGGTAATGAGTAAAAGAAGCTAAGGTTTGGTTCTTGCAAAACTCTTCTTCGAATTGAGTTCAATGACACACACTCCTTCGAAAACATGGTGACTATGGATGAAACATGGATTGATCATTTTGATCGAGAACCAAAAATGTCATCAATATAATGGAAAACTTCTTTTTCTCCCTCACCAAAGAAGGCAAAGGTAACACTGTCAAGTGGAAAGGACATGCGGTCGTGTTTCTGGGATTGTGAAGGTATCATCATGACTGACTACCTGGAAAATGGAAAAAATAGTCACAGGGGACTACTAATCGGGTTTGCTGATAAAACTACGGTCTGAGCTGGTGAGAAAAAGTCACTGACATCTCCGTAAAAGGGCCCTCCTACTGTATGACCACGCCCCTGCGCACAGGCCACAACAAACAGTCCAGACAACAGAACAGTGCGGCTTTGAAATCCTGCCACACCCAGCTTGTTCACCAGACCTAGCCCCTTCAGACTTTTTTCTGTTTCCTAATCTAAAAAAATCACTGAAAGGACGTAGTTTCCATGACAACAAGGACGCCATTGAAACTGTGGAAGACTGGTTAGGGGCTCATTCTGGGTCACTTTTTTTCTCAAGGATTTTTTAAGGTCAAAGAGAGGTGGCAGAAATGTGTTACTCTGCATGGTGACTATGTAGAGAAATGAAAGTATGTGTGCCAAGTTACAAAGCTCTACCTTTTTCCTTCAAAGACTTCTTGAACCCCCCCTCGTATATATAAACATACATAT